TGCAGCAGCACAGCGATCGTTCTCAAAACTTAAAATAATAAAAAATGATTTACGGAGTATGATGGCAGAGGAACGGCTTAGTGGTTTGGAAAATATTTCTATTGAGAATAGGCGGGCACGGTAATTAAATTTGGAAGAAGTGATTAACAAGTTTGCTCAAATAAAGGCTCGAAAAGTTAAATTTTTAAGTATAATACTATAAAATATGGTTTTATTAATGTATAAATAATGAAATAATAAATATATTTTATAATTATTATTAACTCATTTATAAAAGTTATAGACTTGTAGTATAATATGCACACTCATATGTAAAATTGTATTGAGTAATGAATTCGCAAACAACTGAAAAATAAATAAAAATAGATATAAATATTTATTTATATATATATATATATATATATATATATATATGAAATGCACAAGAAGCGATATAATTGGTGTTCTTGTTGGATTTAAGCTGAAATGACAGAAATATATGGTTGTATCTACTGATATTTTTTTTATGTTAAAATTTTCTTATAATTATACGTCCAAGAAATTACGATTTTTCAGTGTAACTAATTCAAAATATTCTTTGAATACCTAAATTACATGTCTGTATTAATATTAAGCTTCCATCGTACTTTTGTTCATAAAATATACTATTACAACAAAATCTACATGTTTATCTATAGGTATAGTAATTGTAGTTCGCTGTTATATTGTAATAGGCCACGATCATTTATTCGTTAAATTAACCTAAAAAGTAAAGAGATTTTTTGAAAATTGTTTTTTTTTTGAAATATAAATTCCTGTGTGCGATTTGTTGTAATCATGCATAATATTGGTGCAGAAAACTTATTATTAAAAACTTATTATTAGATTAAAAATATAAATTAGGACATTTAATGTAATTTAATCAATTTATAGTCACTGATTATACACACAAAAATAATAATAATTAATGATTAATGATGATTCTTTAATGGGATTTTTTTTATATAGTGTTTACTTTTATTTTATAGTAACATTTTTTTCTTATTAGGCCGGTTGTTATTATGCCCTATCGTAACGAATATTGAGAAGATCCTCCGGATAACCAGGTTTGTAAAAGTTACATTACCTATAAAAACCATTATAATTTTTAAACTAATATAAAGGTAAAGTTTTTTGGAGTAAAATATTTTATTAACATGTATATTTAAATTATTTAATTAATTTTACAGCAGCAATAAATTACTAAAAAATACGATTAAATTATTAGTAGACGTAATAGTAGCAAGCGTTAATTTTAATTTTAATTAATATTACTAAGCTAGTAATTTAAATTGTTAAAACCTCAGATAAATAATATAACAATTATTCGTGAACACTTTTTTAACAAAAGTACTAATATCAGTACTCGTAACAATGTTTTACACATATTTCACCTAAATAAAACAGTAAATCAATAATAAACTAACTGAACAGCTGTATGATTTTAATTTATTCCGTTAAGTTAATTTTAAACATCCATATATTATACCAACTAACTATTACAGTACTATGTCTATTGTTATAGCCTAGATTTGTATATTAATATAAAATTTTCTTTTCACGTTCTCATTTTTAAACTGAAATTTGAATAATTACTTTATGATAATGTTTTTGTTATTATATTTCATTTATATTGTGTTATAAAATACTAGAAATAATGAACTGTACACGTTATTTTAATTTTGCATGGGTAAATAATAATGCAAATAAAATACACAATATATAATATATTTATATGGAATGGCTTGTTTTTGAAATTTCCAAAAAAAAGGAAATGTCTGTAAAATCATGGAACATTACAGAAATAATGAAAATTGTTTGCATATAATGTAAATGTCATATAATAACCTTTCGGACGGAAATTATATTTTCATTTGATACGATTTCCGAAGATATATCGTTTAAAAAATAGAGCGGTAACAAACAATACGCCATGCTGAACAATTGCACCTCTTTGCTTTCGTTTATTTATTGGTACTCTTGTACACAATATTTATATAATATAAATATAACAAATGTATTAGTTTTTTTCTTTTTTACAAGATTTTGATAGGTACGTGAAATATTGAAAAATGAAAAATTTATTAAGACTCATTTTACCTATGAACGCCAGGGTGCCTCAATCGGAATAATAGGAAAATGCAGTTACTATAAAAAGGGCGTAAGTAAATTAAGTCTCAAAATAATTTAACGTTTTTCAAAAGCGATTATGTACATATAACAACTAGATAACAAATACGTGCTATAAACGAGAAATACATTTAATTTGGTGTTTATTATTATGACCTTGAGTGTTATTAGTTATTAGATACTAGTTTTTAGTTGCATTGTATTGATTTTTATATCCAGTTATTATTCAGTAAGATCTCCCGTAGATGGGTAGTGGTTATGAGGTTGATTATTGAAAACTACATTTGTCTCTGGAAATATTCAAGTACGACATGCCACTAAAGTTAATGAATAATAACTGTATTCGTTTATAGTTCACAATAAGTAACACGGTTCGGTGACTCAACCACCACTAGATCACCGGACATAGGCGCAATTTGGGGGGGGAGGGCTTGGGTGTGCTTAGTAAATAACCGTTATAATAAATAATATCGTTTCAATTTTTATTTAATTTTTAATAATTTGTAAGAGTTTCTCGGTCCCAAAATATATAAATAATATTCCCACAAATAAAATAAAATGCCCATAACGACATTAACCGCGGTAACAACACATGTGTAGATCAACACAATCTTATCGATTGGTCGAGTAACATTTGTAGGTCACACATTGGACCGTTATCGCTCATATTTACTAATATTACCTTTTTTTTGCTGAAATTTAATTTTTCGTGGCCCTACCTTATAATTGTTGACCTCCTATTGGCTCTACTTAAGATAAATCCTGGCACCGCCACTAAACGCATACCTCCTTCACGTAGCACAATTACCATGGAGGTATGTTATTTAATACTAATGATAAGTACACATGGACCTATAGACGCAGCTAGAACTTACATTTGAGGGGAGGGGGCCTATAAGTACCAAGATTACAAACACTTGTGGAGTTTGCACCCCCACGCACCATCTACTAATTTACATTAATTAATTAATTCATTCATTACTCACTATTATAGGTTTAATTCAAATTTTAACAAGACTAATCCTCATAATTCCCCTCTTAAAAAAAATTTGAAGTAATTCGCATTAATAATAAGATATTTCGTGTAAGTACCTACTTATTGAGATTATAAACATAAATAATTAAATTTTATCTCGATTTCAAAATCCTGAGTTTCATTATTTTTAATCTGGGAGGGCTATGGAAATATCTAAAGGGTTAAGCCCTCCCCTCATAGTTACGCCTATACATGTATATGGGTAATACGGTTGAAACACATGTGGCTACTGTCAGTAGCGTAGCCAAGGGGGGGGGCTAAGGGGGCTATAGCCTCCTCCATGAGCTATGTTTATATGTATAATGTATCTTGACTATTTAATAGAATCAATGGATGCTCTTTTAAATCAAAGGCTTATTGATGTTATGCCACTTGAAGGACTTATTCCGGCTAATTTAAATATGTATGACGATAAAAATATTATAAAAGCTGCTAAAATATATGTCCAAGATCTCCATGGTAATACCTCATCTACAATCAGAGCTGACCTGTTCATATGGAGGCAACAAAGGAGTCAAAATACTATTCCAAAACCGAATTCTGCTCTTGATTCACTCTCTCATCGCACCAATCTTCGAACTAACATTAAAATACTTTTACAATTATTCGCCACGTTACCAGATACCTCTTTCACTCCGGAAAGAACTTTTTCAGCACTTAATCGCTTCAAAATTTTTTTAAGAAGCACCATGTCGGAAAACAGACTGAATGGGTTAGCTATGGCTAATATAAATAAAAAAGAGCAATTCGATGAAAATGAAATAATAATTGAATTTGCCAGAAATTCGCCTAAGAGGATGCAGCTGTCAGAGTGGAGCAAGTGACTGAACACTGAAACCAAAATTATTATTATAAATTATATGTTAATAAATATTTTTAAAACTATACTAAAATGCTTGAATTACGTTTAGAAACTAGGTGGTAGATGGTGGGGGGGTTAAGGGTGAATTCTCATATCCTCTCTTACTTACTTATCCAAAAAAATGGTTAGCCCCCTCCATTTAAAAATCCTGGCTACTGTCAAGGTCTGTCTGGAAAACGAATCTTCCATCACCGCATGTATGTGTGTGTTACATAATAATAATTACAATAATAATAAAATGATATGAAGGTGTAGCCGGTTTATAGGTGTACACACAATGAGAAGATACTTGTGCATTCGTTAAGCACTACTGAAGTACCGTAGAACCAGAATAATAGAATCGACTGTGGGCTCGAAAAGAATAATCGGTCTACTCGTTCGCTGCAGTAAATACCTACTTACAATTATTTCTCTTGATTTTTCTTATTTCGTATGCAATTAAAATCAAAACAATAAAAAAACATTGACCTCGTCATCCGTACCCGTAGATAAAAATAATTAATAAAATTACCATTAAAATTAGACTTATCGTTAATTTTTTATTTTTCAATATTGTTTTTTCCCTACTATTGTATATTTTTGGAACATACAGAACCCATTGTCGCACAAGAATAACAAAATAATACTATTTCAACAGTATAGTCAACAAAGGTTTATTTTATTTTATAAAATATATAAATATATTCAACAATTTGGACACTCGGAGTGTGCAAAATCGTTAGAACATAAATAATCATAATGGTAGATCCGGTAAGTCATCCAAACTGTTTAAAATAAAGAGCTGTCTAATGACAGAGGATAAAGGCAAAAGATTAAGAAATAAATATGTGCGTCTTAAAAACATAAATATGTTTGGACGAAAAACATATATATTATAATACATAATAAATTAAAAACTATTCAATACACCTTATAATAATATCTTGATAATGCATTATAAGTAAACGTATATGCTTCAAACAGGAGGATTGAATATAATATATTTAACATTTCAACATGTAGGTACCTACACATTATATCAGTTTGCCTCTAAAATGTAAAAACACAACGCACTTTACACATATACATTTATGAATTAAACTTATATAAATGTAACAATTAAAATTTTTTTTTTTCAAACTTAATTTCTAATAATAACATCGGTTTATATAGATAATTATTGTCCTCCTTTTTTGAAAGAACATCAGTTCATAATAATAAATTATTGGAAATATATTAGCGGTTATAAGTACCTTTAATATATATTTGTAATGTACCTGTATATAGTATATTTTTTATTTAATGGACCAATTATGAACTTCAGGTGGTATTTATAATTCTTGCAAGAGTGTAGTTTATATAACTACACTCGAGTAGTAATTAAATTGAAATTTTGTTTTGCAAGGAGTAAAATAACAATGAATTCAAATTAACAAAGATAGATAAATTAATATCTCTCAAAAAATTGTACTAGCCACTTTAGCTGAACTCGACAACATTATACTGTATATAAACGCGAACAGTATTACATAAGTACTAATGAGTTTAATTATTTTATACTACCTAAGATTAAAAATGTCCTATCCACGTGTTAATTTAAATTTTAATATTTGAACAAACTTTCAGAGTGGAATCAATCAATTATATCTATAAAATAACAGCCGGAAACTAAATACTCCAATTAAATTACATTTACATTCATACATATATACATACACATATTTACATTTGCAGTATAAAGTATCGCCCTAATTTAATCATTAACACAAATTGTATATAAAAATATAAATTATTGAAAGATACGCTTGGTAAAATCAATGGTTTATTCTTTATTAAATTAAAACCAAATGAGTAATTTTGAAGATGATGTATTCTTCTTGCAGTTTAAACATACTTGAGGGTATTCGTTTTTCTCAAAAATCAATGTTACCTGCGAAAAAAAATCACAATCTAGTTATAGATTAATAATTTGGACACATTTTAAGGATTACTCATTAAATATCTAAAGTAATGCAATAAATTGCACTAATATATACACTTGGAAAGCGTCAGGTTTTAAATCATATTAAATATATAGGTTCATGGACGATTCATATGGAGCCAAACAATTGCGTTTGTGTTGTGTAACATTAATAAATCTATTGAAACAAAAAAAAATAGTTTATATTTTTGTTTACAATTGACATATTTCTTTGAGTACGCCAGAATAGAAAATTAAAATAATATTTGAAATAGTTCTACAGTAATACAAATTGAATACAATGCGAAAACGCCAAATATTAAGAATATCGACACATTATATTAGTTATGTAGATAAAGACAGAGAGACTTTTTAAATAAATAAAAAAAATGTGTTCTACACTTTCAGATTGGTGTGGCCAGGTGTGGACTAAGGAGAAAAAGACGAGGATTAATCCTTGGGCGAAAAATTGTTAATGGTGGCATTTTTGTAGTACCTATATAATTTATTATTGATTACTAGTTTGATATTTTTAACTTTGTTATTAGTAATATGTTTAAAACTCAATAAGAAGATTGTATGATTATTATTAGATAAAAATTGTAGGGAAGGGTATTCAATTATTGGTCTATGATAGGGCGTCATTTTAACATTATTCCCGGGAGATAATGAAAATTAAAGGTAGGTATTTAAAATTAAAAAAAAAAAAAAAAATACCATATAAACAAAACATGATCAAACAAATATTACTTAATTGTTTTTTTAAATGTTCATAATTTGTTAAACGCTTTTATAAACATAATACTATGCGTTTTATTGTTCGTCCAATTTAACAATAAATCTTTTTAACATTGGAGCTATAGTATATTAATATTAGTATTTGATTTTGTTTTTATTAGTCATACTAAAATTTTTGAGTACCCATTAAAATTACATGATTATTGACATTCATCATACAACTTTTTTTAAATAAATAATAAAACATAAAAAAAAACTATTACTACTCAGAAGTCAAATTAAATGTTGATGAAACATTAAAAATATCACATTTTTAAAAACTAAAGTAAATATATCAGTTTGTTGTCAGAAAAAAATTAATGTTATATGTTGTATTTATATTTTATTGGGCAGTCTAAGTGGTTTCATTAGAAATGTTGTATATTACTTATATAATGACACTAAAATGAATCAATTATAGGCACCAATAGCGTTTGAGACTGAAGAGAAATGGAGCTGAAGCTTATAAAAGTACAATATATTATATAGTTTAATCATTAATTTTTGTGACACTATTAACAATTATTTATGCCTACGATACCAATATTTTATAAAAAAATCTATCAAAAATATTTTAGTTGTGTATAGTAAATATTGTATGGTTTGCACAATACTTAGATACCCCAATGCTATTATATAATAATATGTAACAAAATACTTAAGATTTTCAAGCATATTTATAGAGGACAATAATAAATTACTTTATCCATAAATATTTTTGATATAACTTTAATGAATGAAAAACAATATATATTATTTAATAGAGACTCTTGGTAAATTATGAAGGGGATAGCTGTGAAAAATTATTGATTACAAAAATTATTATATTTCACTATATATTTACATCACAAGGGAAATAAGCTGATATAAATTATTATTTTATTTTTGGCAATGAATTCAGATAACAATAAAAATTAAATACTAACCTAATATTTGTACTGTCATACTTATAATATATTTACATTAATATTATAAGTTGATTAAGGAAAAGTATTGTCACATACCATACTTTATAAGGAAGATCATCAATACAAACCATAATTGAAGGAAAGGGCTTTTTTTAGCCCTTTAGTCATATCACTGATATAATATTAATGAGTAATCTTTGGAAGTTAAATTGCATTGTATATACTACAGTTAATAATAAATATACTGTAAGTTCATAGAATTACTATTGAACTAATTATAACTTTTGATTGAATTAATTAATAAGTATTATATACTACATTCTATAAAATATAAAAATAAAGTAATGTATAAATTATATACAATACATTTAAAGTTAATTCATCAACATAACTTTAAAAAATAAAAAATAAATATTATATTATTTGAATACATGATAGAGCATTTCAATTGTAATTTGGTTGGAAATGATACATAAAGTTTATACACATCAAAATTATTTACCTAAAATAAATGAATTTTACTCGTTTTTAGTTACATCAGACTCAATCCAGTACCACTACTTCTTTAAAAATATAAAAATAGATTCTAATGCATGATACGTATGATTGATTCTAAATTAAATTCTCTTTGTTATTATACATTTAATTTTTTTTTCTTAGTTAAAATTTTATGGAATAGATTTTATCTTTAAATAACATTTTATATTCAAAATAAAATACCTTCAATTAAAAACATGCATTGTATAGTGCATACATTTAATAAAGAAATATTTTCAGATTTTTATAAAATAATAGGATATGTATATTTAAATTTCTTGTAAATATACAACATAATACTAAAAGCGTAATTATTAGGTAAGTGTTTTAACAACGAGTAAGTTATTTATAGTGAAAATAAAGTACATAAAAGATTTAAGATCATTACATTAGGAAGATGCAACCACTTAAGTAATATGCAAGTAAATTTTTACCATTTAATTTAAATTAAAGAGTAGATATATTGTAAGATATTATCTATCTATTTATAATGGATATGTAAAATTTAAATTTTATTTGCACATTATTATCAATAATTAATCGCAAATAGCTATTTATGAATATAAGTAATATATTATATGATTGTTATATATTATGTGTTCGAATATTATTATAACATACCATATAAAGATATTTCACAAATTAAACTCTTCTATAAAAAAATCACGGTTAAAATATTTACCTTAGTTTAATGTATATATACAATTCATATATATATATATATATATACATTTTTATATAGATGGTGGTACAACATCGTATTTATGCGACATAATTGTAAGTATTTCGGTCTTCTGGTGTACGTGCTAAATATTCTCTTTCGATTAGGCACTCGATACGTTTCTTAATGAGAACAGGTGATGGCATAAATCTAGATCTCAATTGCTCGGTTACTTCCATAATAAGTGTATTGTGTGTTAACCTTTTACGAGCTTTCATAATGCGTACAAGTGCAGCTTCAATTTCATGTTTTCGATCTTCTTCTACCTTATCCTTTGTTTTGCGTCGCTCTGGCTCGTTTTCTCCTTTGGTAGTAATTGACTGAATTTTAACACGATATAATTTAGAGGTATAAGATTCGTTGATGGAAAACTCATGATGAGATTCGATTTCTTTAGTTTTGGGACTTTTTAATAATACCCTCTGAGAAGGTTTTCCCATTGCTAATGATTGTAATGCTCTGGTTAGATCTTTTTCATTAATGTCTGTTTCATTCATTATCATTTCCATGGTGATCTTTTCATAAGTGTTAAACAGCATTAAAATTGCCATTTGATAGGTTGTTACTTGAAAAAGATGTTTACGCACAGGTGAATTAACATGGTTTAAACTAGTGCCAGAATTGGAAGATGTTGATACAACAGTACTACCACTGCCATTTGAGCTTATCACAGATGTTGAACTATTTTCTCTACGATAGTCATTAAAAATAGCAGTTATATCAGCTGAACCTAACTGTGGTTGGAGACGAAGTTGTCGTCCATTGTGTTTACCTAAATAAAAAGTTCTAAATTCTTCATATGCCAAACGTGCTATGCTGGGTACATTACACTTTGGAGTAGTGGTTGGTAACGGCCAAAAACCAGTTGTCAGAACACGAACTGATAAATCAATATTATTGCAATTCGATGATGGTAAATTGGCCATGTACTGTTTAAATGAATCCATTACAGTGTTTGATAGAGACATGTCTTTAAACATACCTTCAAGTTTAGAAGTAAATTGACATCCACATTCAGTTTTTAATTTTGAGATCATATTTTTCTCATTATCATCACTCACAGACTTATTTAACAATAGTCTTTTGGCTAAATGTTGTTTGTAGTACGTTTCAAAAACATCTTTGTCCTGAAGAAATCTGAACAAAACCATGGCTTTATCAAGCACAGGTTCTAGATCATTTTCATCAATACCACGTACTCCTTTTCTCAATTTGTCATCAATAAATAATGACATGTACTCAGGAGACTTTTGATTGAGGTTTAAAAAATGTTCAAAATCTGAAGAAATAGTTTGTTTAAAAATTTTATCACTTCCAAATGAATTATATAAAAAATAATCAAGTTTATCTTTGAGATCTAGTAAGCTTTGTACATAAGTGACGGGATTTAAATCAGTCTCGTCTTCTTTAACTAGTGACCGGCCTTCTTCTCGTAAATACTTACTTAAGCAGTCTGACATAGTTTTCAGACCATCTGATAGATTACTTAGAAGTTTATACATACAAGCAAGATCTTGAGTTCTTTGGTTCTTTAACATGAAAACAAATCCAGAGTTTTCCATTTCAACTATGGTCTTCATATGTTTTTTGATTAGCTCTTCCTCTACTACTTGGATTATACGGGGTTCAGTAGATACATCAAGGTAATTTTTAGCTCGTTCAGCTTCTTCGTTTATTCGAGATTCAGCTTTTTTTATATATATGGAAGCGCTATTTTCGGCCAAAAGCATCTGACTTTCAACATTGTAGAATTCGCTAGACTGAGCAAGAAATGGGCGTTCAAAATCTTCTTGATAAACAGTTCTATTTTGTATTCCTAAAATCATAAGCATTTGACAAGCATTCTTCAATGCAATTCGATCTATCACTTCACCATTCCTTTCTTTCATTACCATACTTAATAATGTTTCACGTAAATGATCTCTTATACGATCATGGCGAACTATAATATCACGAAATAGGACCAGACCAAGGTTGTAAACACTATCAACTTCATTGTTTTTCACATAAACTTTGTCCATGTACATAAGTATATCACGTATCATGACCATTGACGTCTGATGATCTCTCCAACACTCATCAAGAGTCTGAAGGAAATTGTTATTTAGAGCACTGAGAACGTCTTCACGGACTTTAGTTTCCAAGTGTGCAGAAACAGTTTCTCTCATACCGTTATACAGACGTTCGCCATGTTTCAACAATATCATTGTATATGCATTGCGATACAACTCTTCAAAGCTCAGACAAGAATTATTCTTCTTGTGTATCTCCTGTATGGCATTCTTCAGCATCGCCCAAGTATTGTCCACAAACTTCTCGTCGGTGCGAGACGGGAATGCCTTCACACGCATATTACCCCTCTTCTTGGGCACCGTACTATTCATTATGCTTGTGCGTCTTCGTCCCAAGGGATCACTACTCATTGCAGGCACGCAGATACCATTGATACACGACGGTCGTCTGTCAAATTAAAACGATCTATCGTATTAAACATGTTATCGATTCACCGGACAATGGGATATTAAAGTAGAATAATCGTGCTCCGTACTTGATCTAGGAGGACGTCAAGAGAGCGCAGTGACAACAACGTGATAGAGAAGAACTGATTGGTAAAAAAAAAAAATTATTAATTAATATCAATCTTTTGTACGTAATTATTATTAATTTTTCAATATTACCATAACAATGGAACTATACCTGTTCGGCCACAAATTTATTGCAAGTCCGCAGTAAAATACTATATGTCCTATCGATATGCGGTGATCGTTTCTCGAATTCGTGATAAACTTTAAATTTGATCGGTTTCTGAATTATCCACGGCTGCCGACCCAAAAACATAGAGCGCAGAGGACTTTCACAAAAGATATAAAATTAATGTACCCAAATTGACAATAATAATGTTTCAAAATACGCCATTATCAGTCACTGGTGAAATGTTATTTCTTTTTTTTTTCTAACACGATTTTAGTTACTCCTTAGGTTATGTTTGGTTATCACCGATCCGTGGGTTTTTGTGCCATGAAAACAGTGGCGGAATTCAAAATATATTTTCGTAGCTACGCTGAGTGTACCGTTTTTAAGGGTGCGCGATCGAAACAAACCGAACGGCAAACGTTTAAATAACACTGGCCAGGTGCTCCGCACAATCCCACTGGTACGAACCTTTTCTTTGCACTCACACGATTGCCAATGCTCGTTTCGAAGTCCTCAGTACTCCGTGGCGTGATTGTTTTTTTCGGAGAGGGCGCGGGGCATAAACATTCCATACATCGCATTCGCTCAACGGGCAATTTTTAAACATTCCTTAACATAATTTGCGTACCGTGCCGACGTTGGTGTCCAGTTATTATTAGGCGATTTTCTTATTCACGTTCAACAATTTTAGTCATTGTAAAAATTAAGTATCTATGAATATGAAAAAAAAAAAAATCAACAAAAATGATGGGATACAACATGTATAACACTAATGCTTGAATTTAATGTTATGTCACAAAATAATATTTTATTGATTGTTAATACTGAGTAGCAGTCACTGTACTTGGAATTGTTTCCAAGTTTTTGCAGAATCTTTTATTTTGTCATAGACATTGTAAGACACCATTAATTTAAGAAAATATACCTACAAGTTGATTTCAGTACCTCCCAGTTGCTGTTATATGTCAAATGATGAATAAAATATTTCAAAGTTCCACACATCACATTTTTATAATTCACATAATATTATAATAAATAAGTGGCTCTTTCATCAATTCAATCTATGTTACAACTAAAAAATTATATATATACTTATATAGTATTAGTCATTTCATTTAATAAATGTCATGGTTAAAAGTTGGATGAATAAACCATAGATATCAATAATTGACTAAAAATCTATTAAAACAGAATAACAAATTCTGCCAATTATAATTTAAACCTTTTTTTTTTATTTTATTGAAGAAATCTACAATCTATACATATAATTTTTTGTATAAGTAGGTTTGATAAGTGACAGTAAAAATAAAAATAACAGATAACATGATTCATGGGATTAGGGAGGATACCCAATGGTAACACCCTATAAAATGACAGAATAACGTTGATGAATGGAAAAGAGAAAAAAAAAAAAATAAATAATAATATATATATAATTTTTTTTTTTTTTTGGTTTGAAGGTGTTACCTGGTTACGACCTCCAGCACTTATTAAGCTCTCTTACTATAGAAGATTTCTACACTATTGCCTTTTAAGTCTATGGTGCAGGTTATTAGGGAGTGTTTTCGTTGATAATTTAGAGATTTGGTTAAGATTTTGGATTTTAAGATCTTTGTGGAGGTTATTGTTGGTTAAATATCAGGGTGCAGATGTAACTAGGCGAAGGCATATTGATTGGAATGCTTGGATTGTACGGGTGTTTGATGGTTTAGCAGCCCCCCATATTTGATTGCCATAAGTCCATAGTGACCTGAGTAAGGACTTATAGATTAGAATTTAAACCTTTTATTGAAAAAATGTTGAACTTTAGATTTCAATTTGAGCTAAAATTTTTGTAGCACCAATAGATTATTCTTCACAATTAAATAATCCACTTAAATTAAATACCATGAAAAACTACAATAATTTAATAATTTGTAATATTCCAACATAATAAAACAACTTTTCAATTGGTCTTTAGTTATTTGTAATTAATAAAATTTATTAAGCTACTAATTAATTGCTAAACTAATAAATTATAAATTAAACAAGTGTTGATATTAAACTATAAATACTATCCAAACTATAAAAATCCAAATAGTTTTACCTAAATTGATCTTATTTATAATGATCATTTTCACTTAGATTACTCTGAACATAATGCAGATTATTTACAGTACAATAATTTTTCATCTATCAGCTGTAATGTAATAACTGATAGTTAAATTTTCATTAGTGATCACATAAATGCAATGTTCATGAAGCAGTTTTGAATTGGAAAAATTGGATTTGTAGGTTTAGTAAAAAGGAAAAGAAACATACTTAATTTTTAATTAAAACAAAACATTTACTGAATTCTATTTTTTCTTCGTATTTTTACAATATCATTATTTCAAAATTTATGTTAAAAATATTCACTAATTGAAAAAAATGTCCATTTTATATTTACCATTAAATGTTTGTCTAATATATTTCATAATATATATTAATATACAGTTATGAAAATCGTAATATTTATAACCTAAAGTGCAAAAAAAGAGTGTTTAATCAGTACCAAAAAAATTATAAAATCATTCATCATAATTATCTGTTTGTCCATTTTCGTTGAAATCTTCACCACGCTCTGGTTTTGTATAATAAGAGCTACTATAACGGCTGCCATTAGCATTATCTTCATCAGGTTCTTCCTTCTTAACCATATCTGGATCATATTCTTCATGAGCACTATTGTAATTATCGTACTCGTTATAATTGTCATAATTATCATAATCTAAAAAATAAAATATATAAATGCATAACATTACACACACATACAAAATGTGAACTTTCATCATAAGTTATTATAGGTTATTGAATATTATTTTAATTTAATCAAATAATAGTTTAAGAAATTATATAATTTATATTAAAAATAATATTAATGATAAAACATTATTTAAAATAAATAATTTAGATAAAATACTAACCATCAACAGGCTCTTGTTTAATGTGAACTTTTTCATCACGTTCAGAATTGTCTTTGTCATGTTTATCACGACGATCTTTACTTCTGTAACATATGTAATAGTTAAAAGTTTTAAAAACAAACAAAAAAGTTAATTAACATTACTTGTCATGTCTATGATGGTCTCTATCTTTACGATCCTTCTTACGCTCGCGGTCCCTAGAGCGACTACGCTTTCGTTTTCTTTCACGATCACGATCTTTATCTCTGGACTTAGGAACTTCATCAACTTCATCATATTCTAGATCTCTAACACGATCTCTGCTACGACGCCTCTTACGTTCTCGTGAACGTCTAAAATATATTTCATATGTTTAAAGTTTAGAAAGTTTAAAATATAATATTAAAAATAAATAAAATATAGTATTATAGATTGATTTAATTAGAAGATAAAACATGTTTAAATATTTTTTAGTTTTATAGCTTAGAAACTATATAAATATGATTTAATAAGTAATATTTTTGCTTTTATCATAAAATATGTTAAAAGATATAGTTTATTAACAATTATTTAAGTATATTTAAATAGAAACAAAATAATTATCATAAATAATAATTTATTTATTAATTTATACTTAATATCTTTTTAAACTTTTGAAATCAATTTAAGTTATTAGAATTTGAACATTGTTCAATAAAAATTAGTTAATATAATATTATGTTTATAATAGATAAAAATTAAAATTAATTTTTTAATATATATTTGACTTTATAGTTAAAAACTTATTAATTAATAATATATATACAGTTGAGTCCGATTAATGGGAACAAACAAGCAGAATCCTAAACGAATGTATAAGTTTTAGGCAATTTAACATTGTTTATTGGGGACAATTCATCTGTAATAAGGAACATACAACAATTTATACATACCTATTTTCTTATCGTAACTGTAATTGTCTAATATCTGTCTATCAGATTTTATATAATAATAATTACCTATATATTTTACTTTTGCTAATAATTTCTTTATCTCCTACAACCACATATCCGTGAAGATAGTTAAGTTAACTAGTCCGCATATAAAATTTGTCAATAGTCAAAGTTATAATAAAGTATAAGAAAGAAGAATGGATGATTTTCTATAGCCAAACAAAGAATGAGTTATGTGGGGTTTTTTTTTTGCAAAAAATATTAGGTTAATCAATTAATTTATAATAAACAAATACAAATAATAAAATTATGACATCATAATGTATATAAGAAATAATAATTTTTAAATAAATTACAACTTGAGTATGTATGTTTCTTATAATAAAGTTATAATAATGCACTTAAATAATTTTTTAAATTTTTTGTTTTTTAAAATCAGTTTATTGGTATAGTTTGATAATGGGGAAACATAATTCATCATCCTGTGTATCCCCATTAAGCAGATTCAACTGTATTAGTAAATGCCTATAACATATTTAATACATACGACTTTGAACGATGGCGTTTTCTTTCGCGATCTCTACTACGAGGGCGCCTTGCCTCTCGATCTCGATCTCTATCTCGATCACGATAATCACGTTCTCGATCTCTTTCCAAAGTAACACTACGGCCAGAACGATTACCAGCCATTTCACGAGCATACCTTTCTCTTTCACGTTCATTATCTTCCCTACCTGAATGTTTCAAATTGACTTCTGGTCCTCCACGTCTTGTACCCCCTAATCCACCACCTAAAATAAAAAATACCAATTTAGTAAATAATTCATTATTATTAAACTATATTAATCAAGTGAAAATAAATAAATTTACCTAATCTTCTTGGAAGCCACCCTTTGACAGTACGTGCTCTCTCGACATCGACCAACACTCTGCGCCCATCAATTTTTTTTCCATCAGCATGTTTATAAGCAGCTATAATAAATATTATTGGGGAAAACAATTAGACTGAACTAAGATTGTAAGTAAAAAATTTGTTGTCCATAAGAAAAATTGAATACCCATCCCAATTCAAATGAAAATGACTACTAGTAATTGATCTTTTTGAATAGTAATTATTAGTACTGATGTGTTGATAAAATAGAACAGATTTATTTCAACTATTGAAATATATTGAAACAAATTTAAAATAAATCTGAAACCAGGACTTACCAACCTCAAAAAATTAAAACTTAATACCTCAAAATAATAAGATATTATAATCAAATGATTAAGTACCTACCAATTATACTTATTTGCTATTCCCAGATTTGTTTTTTTTAGCGCAGTTTGTAATGCCAAGTGACTCCAAAATTGAGACGATTAATAGAATTTTTTTACTTTACCTGGGACGCCAATACTTACATAATGGGCGCATATTTATTAAATTACCCAGTATAATTAAATAAGATAAAAAGAATATGTAAATGAAATATAAAATATCATGTTTTCTTCCACCAATTTCACATAATCTTACCTTTGCATATATCATGCTCGGAAAAATAAAATAAAATAAAATATAAAATATTATACTATTATTTAAACAAACGACATTACAGATTACCATATTCTGTAATGGCCCCAAGTTGACATATTGTAGTTTTTTTTTTAGTTTTGTATACAAAAAAATAGATGTCATTTAAATTTTGTTAATTTTTTAAGTATAGAAGACTCAAGAATTAAAAAAAAATTTTTTTTAAAAAAAAACACTTGTTCAACCGTAAGTATGGGTTATATAAATAAATAATGTACATTTAAGAATAAATCGTACCCAAGAAAATTATTGGAAAACTTAATGATGGGTTAAACTATTTTGTTATTTGTATGTTGGGCTTACCACACATACAAACCTATTATCAACAAAGTCGTCTACGTATAATCACAGGGTCATTATTCATTAAAGAAGCTCCAATCAGCGAGCTCTTCACAGTTCACTGCATCAAGAACAAAATACAATTATTAAACTGTACCAGAATGTTTTTTTTTTTTTTTTTTTAATTTTTAAGATCAGGTTTAATAAAATTACGCGCAAGGGTTATTTGAAACCAAGAATTTTAAAAATATTTTCCAAACTGGCGAGTATTCAGATCTTGAATATTTGTAGAATAATCCTTACAGTTTACGAATATTGATGTAGTGGATGAATTTGTTGAGTTATCAGTTTTACCAGTCCATCTGAATTTTGCAAATTTAACCTATGTTCACAGCTTTAATTTTAAATTTTATAACAATTTTTTATAATTAAGTTTGATTAAGAGTTCCTACCATTGTAAGTAATATAGATATTTTTATTTACTTCCAAACAGTAACTAGTCATAAAAAACCATGTATTTAATGTAGGGTTGCCATTTATAAAAAATTACAAGTCGGAACACCATAATACTCTCCCCCTCATCACATTTGTCGGAATTTTTATTAATACTTTTTTTTAGACCAACGTTATTTAATATTTTTAAAATGCTAATTAGTTAAAAATTCAAAAATTAGTAATACAACAAATGTAGAATTATACTATAGTATTAAGAACATAATTATTGTTTTCTTACGTATAAATATAATTTATAATTCTTAAATTAAAAGGTATTTTATATCAATATTCACAAAAATCTTACTTATTTATTAATGCTTTTTGTTAATGTATACATCATCAATTATCATCAAACTGTTCATTTTTTGAATCTTTTGATATTTGAGATCCAGAAACTTCTGTTTCTGATTTTTGATTTGTGGATGAATATTTTGCAGATTTATGAACTTGAATGAATAGATCATTATTTTTTTGAAATTTCTTCATAAAATTTTTGGTAGGGTTTATTTTCCAAATTTGTCTTAATGACTAAAGAAGTTTCTACACTTATGATGCATAAATTACCTCGTGAATTTGTTCAACAACTATTCATCAATGAAAATATTCTCTCCGAAACTATTATTTCAATATCAAGACTATTTGTAGCATACTAAATACTTTTATGTATTATGTGTGCACAGCAACCTTATTCCAAAATATTACACTTAAATATATTTTTAATTTTAAAAATATATTATTTTGGCCTTTTTTTGCAATACCCCCAAAATGTGTGATAACATTTTCTCCTGAGAAGCTTATTATTCTTTCATCGAGTTTAAATTTTTTCAAAACACTTACAATTTTGTTGTGAATTATTACTGCCATTTCTCTGGATAGGTTTGAAGAGTCCAAAATATCATTTTTAACTTTATTTTCTGAATTAAAGAATTTTACAATTACAGATACTAATTTCACGGTCATTTGAGGCATCAAAGAGCATAGAAAAATAATTAGCTTTTTTTTAAACATTCAATAGTATTCTCCATAGTGAAGGGGACTACAATATTTACTACTAGATCAAAGATTTTTGTTTTAGCACAAGTAAACTTTTTTTTCTTTAAATAATTGGCAAATAAGACTTGCTGTACAAGTCATAGATTTAAAGCTATGATTTTAATATAAAAATGATTTTCTTTGCAAAATCAGGATGAATGGCAACCTTAATTTAATTGCATTAACTTTTAAACTATGAATATAAAAAAAAATCTTATAAAATAAAATTGTAAGCTGAGAAACTTAAATAAATTATATGCATAATTTAAATGGGTCAGTAAAACAGATTAGCTCGTTTTGACCTCAACATTCGCCATTTGAGATCACTCGGTCTATTTTTGAATAATAATAGATCTAAATATTAATTACTTACAATGCATATCACGTTCATATTCGTACTCAATGAAAGCATACCCTCTTGGTTTACCATCAATCTTATTATGTATGACAACAATCTATTAAAATGAATAACATTGACATGAAAATATGGAACATTTTTAAATTAAATATAAAATTTACTTTTTTAATAGGACCATGAAGTTCAAACTCTCTTCTAAGTTTTGATTCGGAAGTATCATAATTCTAATACAAATAATAATACAAATAAAAATATTAATATTTATAAAATAAAATTATACAAAAAATTACTTACGATTCTGGCAACAAATAAAGTTTTAAAAGGATCTGTTGTTGCATTTGCCACAGAGTGAGGTTCCCCTAAAAATCAAAAAACAATATATTTAAAATTCCAGTAAGTAGTGTTTAGAACAACAAATGAGTCGTTCAATGAGCATGGTCATAGTTACCACAAAGACATGATAATACTTACATAGAGCAATTTCTTGTTCTAATTTGTATGCAACTTGTTCAGCTTTTTCTCTACGTCGACGCTCCAACCGCTCTTCTCGCGTTTCTATTTTAGTTGGAGGAGGAGTGTCTTCAGGATCCTACAGAAAAAACAGGTGGCCATTAGATTAACTCTTCATACTTAAATTTCAACTATAAAATGTACTCACTTCGAAAAGGTTCATGAAATTTCCCACGCCCAGATAGCCACGGGTTTTCTTCTCATGCGGTAGTTTTGCGACTGGGGGCAGGTAAGGGATTGGATCCCTCGGCGCAAAAAGCGCCAATAAATTAGGCGGCAGGAATTGCGTCATCTCGTCTAGTTTGGTGGATCTTCGGACATCCGCACGAGCTCGTTAATCGAGAGCAACTACACGATGTTGAACGGCGCGGATCAACAAAATTGTTGTTGGATTTTACTGCAGCAAAAATAACAAGGTCCGCGGGACTCGTCGACCATTTTTATCCGATGCTATCAGATGGGCATGGAATAGAAAATCGAATTTCGCGCGCGCTGCCAATCCAGTGATGGCGGTAGATTCGCTCTTTTTGTATTCGGTTCCGATGCGTAAGCTACAGAAGTTTTACCGACGTGAAATGCCGCTGAAGTCGAATTTTTGAACTATTTGCATCAAAACATTCGACAATATTCTATACTAACGTAACACTGACGAAAAAATGCGTGGGACTCGAGTGAGAACATTGGCAACGCACAGCGTAGCAGCCTAACAGTGTGGCACGGACTCCGACGAAATTTGAACGGTCAGGACAATGATAACGCCTTGTTTGAGGTTATGTATGATATTATCAACGTAATGATTAATCACATATTTTGTTCGATTTAAAAATCTTTAAACATAGCTATCTTATTTAGCAGTCGTTGATTTTTAAGTTCGAATCCGTCTTCTACTTCTACTATATTTCAATTCTCTCGACGACTGTTCACGATGGAAATGAAACAGCATAACTGGATCCCTGGTAACTTCAAGAGTGTTCCTGATATCGGTCGTTCAGGTTTGTTTTCGTGATTTTTGTTCATTCGATCATTTGTTCCTAATTTCTACGTACCTATTTGCGTCTAATAGAGATGGGTATTGTTTGCATATTTTTATTGAACCATTACTTATGGTTTATGTATTACACGCAGTAATGCTCGTATAACATAGTTCTGATGGTCATTTAGAATTAATTAATTTTGTTAATTTAAGTATCTGCTCCATAGGTTAGTATATTATATCATAATTATTGATTGAAGACTTTAAACCACACGACAAAGAATGTTGATTTTGTAGTTCTCCCAATTAAAGATGTAATTATTTTTTCTCAAATCCGGCTAAAAAACTATATCATGTATTGAACTCAATATATTATTAAGATTTAATAGTCATTGAGCTTCTTCTTTGAATAGATCATTTTCTGGAGCCCATTTTAATTAGTTTATAAAGGTGATGACTTTTCATTTATGAAGTATATCAATATTATTTTGATAGAGAAAATTGTTTTAATCATCTATTTAAAATTGGTTCATACTTTAATCTTGCATATATTTCTTAAATATATTTTTCTATTTATTGGCTATTCAGTATTATAAAAAAATAACATTTTAAATTAATGTATTATCATTTTATTTTTAAATATTAATATTAAATATAAATATAAATATAAATAATTTAAATAATTAATAATACTGAAATTGAATGTCCTTTTTAAAACAAATTATATATTATTAATGACAATTGTTTTTCTTAGCTATTTTTTTTAATTAAATTAAAGTATTTATGAGTTATAACTTTTTTTCTTTATAGCCCAAAATGACAGTGTGCAACATGGATGGACTCCAATAACGACTACTACTTCTGTTCTTGGTGTTGTATTTGATAATGGTGTAGCTTTAGCTGCTGATACCCTGACTTCATATGGTTCAATGGCGTGTTTCCAGAACAATCCCAGAATATTAACAGTAAGGAGTTATAATTCCAACTACTTGGTTTTAAATTTCTATTCATTGGTTTTTATTAATTGGTCCATATTACATCAATAGGTGAATAAAAACATTATTGTAGCAGCGTCTGGTGAATATTCTGACTTTCAATTCATACGAGATGCGGTTGAAGAAAAAGTTAGGACTGAAATAAGTCTTAACGATGGTATTTCTATGAAACCAAAAGCTTTATACACTTGGCTGTCCCGTGTCTTATATAACCGCAGAACCAAGATGAAGCCTCTTTGGTCTACATTTTTAGTAGCTGGAATCCAAAATGATGAACCATTTTTGGGTCAAATTGATAAATTGGGAACTGCATTTGTTGATGAGCAAATTGCTTGTGGTTACGGTGCATATCTTGCATTACCATTATTGCGGAAAGGTATTGAAGAAAAACGTGAAAAGTCTAATTCTAAATTAACTAAAGAAGAAGCAGTTGATTTACTAAAGAAGTGTATGGAAGTGTTATATTACAGGTATTTAAAAGTTTATTTCATGGTAAATTAAAAGTTTAGTGGTTATTTTTATAATTTTAAAAATTTACAGAGATGCTAGAAGTCATGACAAGTATCAAATTGGTGTTGTTACCAAAGACTCCGTAGAAGTACTGGATCTTGCATTGAAGCCAACGTGGGAAGTTGCTAAGCTTGTGCAAGGATACGAATAAATTATTGAAAAATTTATTTAATGTATAATTTGTCTTTACACTATTTTCAAATAATTATTAGGTTTATGTGGAAAATAAATTTTTTTAACTTATAAATACGTCTAATAGAAAATATCTAAAATTTTTGTTTGTTGTAATTAAAAATAATAGTTTTGAAAAACGTCACTGCGAAATAAAATAATATTTGGTCTAATATTTACCATTTAAATTGAAATAAAAATAACTAGATATTTTATTAATACCCAAAAATTCTAGAAACCCTACAAATTGCATTTGCTGTATATTAAATGATCTCATTTAATTCAAATAATTTACTAGGATACCTTGTTTAAATTGCACTTATTTCCGACTAAATCATTTGATTAAAAGAAAATATATATATATATTTTTTTTTTCCATTAAGACATTTTAAAATAAGAAACAATTTTTAAATGTCAAATGTGTATTTACCCTCAAACTAAAAATCAAAGTAAATATGTGTTATACTAATTATTTCATTTATTATTATCATAACACGTTTTTACAAATCTCAGTATTGACCCAAAGTGTAATTAATAAATATATCATATAATGAAAAAGTAGAAAACTACAAAAGAACATTAAAACATATTGCACTGCGTTGAGTGTACAATTTTATTCTGATAAACTTATAATATATAAATTAGGGACTTAACTTACTATAGTAAGTTAAAATAAGTTCTATCATTCATAGTATACTATTATAATCAATGGATGGGTACATACAATTTTTTTTGAAAACTATTGTAATACATTAAGAATTAAAGTAAGATATATATAAACTTTTAGTGGTGGTTTGTACAATATTGACGTTAGTAGTCAATAGAGTGTAATCCAATAAGACCCATTAACTTTATCATGGCACTAAGTATTAACATTTATTTGATCCTAAAGAGATGGAAATTATTATGATAGGAGTTTTTATAAAAATATAATTTAATAAATGAATTTAACGTTAAGTAAAAGTATAAGAATAAATATTAAAGAGAATTATTATTTTGTCTCTAAAACAAATGATAGGTTACGCACAAATATTTGCAGTTGAACCATTCAATGTAGTTGATGATAAACGCAGTATACAAAGCTTTTATCAAATTTTATACATAGGAAAAATTATAACAATAATTTACAATAAGAATAACTATCTAATAAACATATTCAATTGAGAATGGTATGTCGATCATATATATTTTTTCTTTGTTCTTTGACCTGTTTCTTCCATTTGTCCTGTTGGTGTCCAAATCTATTAAGTACATTACTGCCGGCAGCAACTGAAACCATTGGATCACTTCCTGATCTTGCGTCTAACGATACTGCAGGTGGAAGATCATCCTATATTTTAATTCATTTTATAACAAAATTTTTATGTTAATAAATGGGTATATGATTATTAAAATGAAAAATTTGATATGAACGGCATGCAATATTAATTACTAAAATCTAAACAAATACAAATACACATTAATATTTTGATCCCAATACTAGTCACACAGGTGCAATTCTAAATTGATACGTTTGTATGTTTTACAATTTTAAATAAATCTTAATCAAACAGTTAGAGCCAACATTATGCAATGGAATTATTCAGAGGTGAACTTAAACAGTAAGCACCAGTATTAAAATGACGAGTAATATATTATCTTGTAATAGATTGTGGTGAACTGTAATTCTTATTAAACAAGCAAGGCATAGGTTATGGCAATAAAATGTATAAAAATAAAAAATAACAGTAAACAAGCAAAACAAAAATCAGCAAAAACGTCCAACTATATGTTTATTAACTGTTTTAACCTTATTTTTTGATGCACTTTTGTTATAATTTGCAATTTTTAGTTAAAATATATAACTGTCGAAATACTTTTCATACTTTCATTAAATCATGGAACGTTAGGAAAACTGCTATTATGCATTGTAATATTCTTTTAAAGACAAATTGGAAGAGAATTTGTTGGACTTACAAAACTACCGCTATCGGACATGGTCGGTTCCAATAAAGAACATACCTCTTCGTTGGTGTGCTCTACATAGGCGCCAACTAGCTTGCGTCTTCTGATCATCGGCTCCAGGCACAACAGGAAAAACATGTACATCACTAACAATGATATTACGCATAGCACAATCAACACAACCACCTATATAGTTTTTGAAACTGAATATAGCATTCAACTAATATTTAACATAAATCAGTTGTTACCTTCATTGTAGTAGTGTTTCTACTCTCGTAAGTACAAGTGCACCGAGGACATAATTCTTTTTTTGTATTATTAACCTCTCCAACTATAGGTAGACTTACTCCATTACAGTCACTGAAAATAAAATTCAACAGGTTGATAATGTCATACTATTTAAAAATATGTTGACTCACTTGCTGGGAAGAACATTGGCTATATACAATTTATAATACATTTCTGTACCGTTTACTATGGTACAAACACACTTGCAACGAGCATCTTCATATGATTCAGCCTGGAAATGGAATGGAATTAATAGGTATAAATAATATATCTTACACATCAATCATTTTTTAGCCACTAATTCTATGTATATTTTAAATTATTCAATGACATCATAGTCTCGTGTTCAATAATTAAAATTAGAAAAATATATTAAGACTTAGAAACTGATATTTAAGGTAATAAGTTTTTTAGTATTAAATTAAATTAAAGATTTACTCGTACAATATCAAAAGTAAATAATCCTTTTATAAATATTGATCAAAATGGAAAGGATCTGAATAGCATAACCTATTTTAATTAAGGTTTAGGGGGAATCATTTAAATTGGAAATTGCATAGAAAAAAAGTTAATCTTTATCCATGATATAAGATAAGGGAAAATGGAAATTTAAAAAGAAGAAATGAAAGAATAAAATATTATTTTTCGTAACAATATTAGATAAAAAGCTAACAGATTGAACAGAACATTCCAAAATGTTGTGTAAACTGTGACATTGGTTTGGATTGATTCTTAAACAACCGACGTACAGTAGAACACAGCTTATAATAGGTGTGGTCAGCAGCAGTTTTCGGTGTACACGTAAGGTTTAATGCCATTGATTCAACGGAGAACGACAGGACGTACGCATGACTGAAAACGTGTACCGAACAACACGAGGGGACCGCTGGTAACCGTCCCACGGAGAGGTTCACACGCCCGTGATTCACACGGATGTGGAACGCGTCGAACGTCGTAGCGTCTGCGACCGGGCATGTTTAAACGGTCATGTCGGAGACAATGTGCAATCGCACGCACACTTACCTTGGACGAGGCGGACAACGACAGAACGCCCATCAGAACGGGCAACGCGAGCATTTCGGGCGACGGCAGCTGGTGATCGAAACGGGACACACCGCGGGGGCGGTTCGGCACGACGGCTGGACGCGGAGAAACGATGGCGACGCGCAACAGTGGACTGATGGATATTGTTGCGATTGCCGTTCGGTCGGCACGGGGTGAACGCGACGCGTATGTCGTCGGCAGTGTATCCCGAATACCGGGGGGCAACGACGGAAATGGAAACGGACCAGAGAACCCTGCGTCGGTTTTGGAATCGTAGTCGACGTTCGAGCTCCTGAAGATCCAGTATACGACCCGTATGCGACGGGGCCTGCCAGGATATCGCGTCGTATCGTGGTCGGGGGGCGGATGTCTCGCGTTATCTGTGATAATATTGTGTACACGCATTACAACAACAAAAACAATAATAGTATGGTGATGACATCGTGATAAGACGTAAAATCAACTTGCAACATATGTACCGCGCGGGAAAAAAAATATCTCAAAAAAAAGGCTTAAAAATTGTTTATAAAGACTAAATGTATAGAAAACAAAAAAATCTTGCCAACAACAATATTATATGGGAGTGTATAGAAAAAAAAATAAAAAAATGTACAGGTATTATAACCAAATGATCAATTGATTTTAAATGTATTGAAAAATATTGAACACGAGAACCATCCACAATCCTCAGCGCAAGTAGAAGTAGTGTTGGATACGAACATCAAAACCCAAAACCATTTTGATTATCCATATACATACCAGTTCAATAATTCACGAGTGAGTAAATTTCCAACCACAAAATTTTGGCGTCCCCAAAAAACTGGCGCCCGGGGCAGTTGTAGCCAGTGATCACCCCCCTAAATGCGGCCCTGCTCTCAAGTATTAAAAATATATCAATTAGGTACATTAGACAATTTACATATGATACTTAGAAAATCTTAGTAAAATGCGAACTAAGACAGTAATTTGTATTTATAAATAATATTTAAGATATTTTACTAAGGAATATCCAAATAAATCTTAAGTTTTAGTATTGTATCTATAAATGACACTTTGAATATTTTTATTTTAAGAAAAACTTAGGTAACACTTGAGGTTATTAATTTAAGGTACCCCTTTAATAATGCTTAACAGTTATACATGATTGATTGATTTGGGAAAAAATAATTAATAACTAATATATTATATATACATATAATTTATAATGTACCTAATATAATATAATATAATATAATATATTATTGTATTATTAATTTAATTAATTTTATATCACTTCATTAATAGATCTAATGTTCTTTTATAAGTTGTATTATTTATAAGTTGGTCTAACTTAACCCTTTGCTGACGATATTGATGTAATTTTCTCAAATCTTGACATCAACATAGCAACAAAAAACCTTCAAAATCACCTACTTAAATTGCAACACTGGTTCAGATTAAGGAGCATAAAAATGAATGAAAATAAAGCAAATAATAACATCTTTAGTCTGCGCCACAATAGCAGTCCTCCAGTATTTCTAAACGAAAAAATAATTCCTAAGGTAGATGCAGTCAAATATTTAGATGTTTATCTCGACAAAAGGCTAATCTTGGGGTTACATATAAAAATCAAGAGAAAATCCTTAAACCTCATATTATATAAATTTAGACATCTTCTCAGATCCAACATCTCTCTCTCTCTAACAAATTACTTATATACAAACAAATTATTCGCCCAGTTATGACTTATGGCATCCAACTTTGGGGCTCTGCCAAAATCTTTAATCTAAACATTTTTCAAGCTTTTGAGTCAATTAATTTAAGATTAATAACCAGGACTCGTAAGTTAATGCATTTACATATCAACCTTCAAAGTTCTATTTAATGCTAGATGACATAGAAATCCATTTCAAGGTATGACGGTTATATATGTGAAATCTTATTTTGCATATTTGGCATATTTTTGTATATTTGGTATATTTACGCATATTTCTATTTTATCGGGCATATTATACAACATTCTATTAGAATCTATCAAAAACCTAAATGTTAAATATATATAAACTTCAAAATAGAAATTGTATCATCTTTTCTTTTTTTTATCTTCTTAATACTCGTACATTTAATGAATAAATTTGTTTCAAAAGTTTCAGATTTAAAATTAATTACTGACAAAGACGCACATTATACACAGTTCATGAAGGCTGAAGAATAGTTTTAAATATTATTTAAAATCTATTTTTTTTTAATTATGACAAAAAAAATAAAATATAGCTATAAAAAAAAATGAATAGATAATTTTCCTCAGTCTTGTCAGTGTAATTTACATATGTAATACATTTATTTAATTATATTTTCAACTTAAAATATAAATTTCAGTATTCAAATTTTAGTGATTCATATTTATCAATAAAACATTTAAACAGTAAAACTAAATTGAAAGTCACCAAGGTCTTGATGAAGAGGTAAGGTTAGCTATTAGTTGCTTGCTTTTTATTATATATTATATTAAATACTTGTTCATTTGAATAGTAAGAGTAATAATAGAGCAATAGTGCTTATGAAAGTTGATTGATTTAGATTGGTTATTTTCTTATAAAAGTAAGACTCAAATAAATAAATAATATATATATATTTCTTTTTTAAACTATTCAGAACATAATTTTTTAATAGTTCAAAGAAAAAGTTTGATTAGGTTACAATAATACTTAATACTTAAACACTAGTCAACAATAAAATATATATTACATGTTATTATATGGAATTATAGGTAACAGTTAACATAAAAATTGTATCACAGGCAATATATTATAAGAATAGGTTATAAATCTAAAACTATATATGAGTAATATACAATTAATATAAGACATAACAGCCATGATAGAAGTTAAGTGTTTTATTAGTCTAACTGTTCAAGTAAGTGTTTATTATTTTATTCAATAAATTAAATATTTTCAACTTAAAATCTTTATGGTTTTCTGAGCTTTTACTTAAACGGTTTTATAAATTAGAATGAAATGCAGAAATAATGCTACATAAAATGGAATACATTTAATATAAATGTATAAAAGAAAATTCATAGTTGCAGTACTTTTTAATTGAAATTAATATTTATATATTGTTCAATTATTCTAATATTTTGTCAATATAATCTATAACAAGGACATTAAATAAATAAATAAATAAAAAGATAAATGATTACGAAAATCTATAAATGAATGAAAATTTAAAAAAATTACTTGGAAACATTTTAGTCCTTTTTTTTTCAGTGAAGTTAAAATATTAGTAATATATTGTTTAATTTTCATAGTATAAAGAAATAAAAATTCATTCTAACTAACAGACATTTATAAACTCACTGTTTTATTTTTGTTCTTATTTTCTTGTAATTTGTTATTTTCAAAATATTTAGTCTTTAAGATGGTTCTGTCAAATACACTTTGCTATCTTTCTTTTAGAATCATAAAAATATGTCAAACAATTACTTATAATAGGAAATAATAATTAAAAATGAGAATAAGAATGTTTAAACAATTTTACTTAAAAGTAGTGAAACTCAACTTAATATTCAGCACATAAATTTTGTCTTATACTTCTTAATTTATTTATTTTATACATATAAAAGTTGAAATAAGTGTAATTCTTCTATATATCAGATACTTCAAGTATAAGAAGATTTTTTGTCCTATCAGACTTTACCTCTGTAGCATTATACACTTATATATTGCACAACAATTACTTAAGTCCAAAATAATTGATTTGTAATCCACAAAACTTATACAGTTTGTAGAATATACAGAACTTTTCAATTTATGGGTACTATTAGGACTCATTAATAATTATATTATCATAATCCAATTCTGGAATATCAGTTGAAAATTCGGTTGTAGTTGACAACAAAAATTGATTTAATGTTCTTTCAGTGCATTCAGCAATGAATCTCAAAAATGGTCTTATGTCTCCTTTATTAGCGAATTCTAAAGTTCGATAATATCTGAAATACCAAAAAAAAAAAAAAAAAATACCAAAAAATTCTATATATATTATACTTCAAATATTATAATTAATTATAAGTAATAAGCAATAATATTCCTATTTCTCTTCAAATATTTTGAAAGTATACTAAGCCATCAAATACCTAATATCAATGAAATTCTTTTACACGTTTAATTTGAAGTAAGACTTTATATTAATTTGTCTATAAAGTATTCATGAAATCAATAAAAATTAAATAAGTTGATTAAAACTAAATTCCAATATTAATATTACTATTAATCTATTAGCAATAGGCTATAACATAACCAATCATTATAAATAAAAATTAGGTAAAATACTAATGAGACTAATCCAGAGTTTATAATTTGTATGAAAATATACCATATCATAAATTGTAAATAATTAGTTAAATATACATAGATTAGGTAGCTCAAGATAATATTTGTGGTTCAGAATAGCAAAAATATACTAAATAATTAAATATCAAATTAATTATGCTTACTTATGTCTTTCTCCTTTGGGTATAATAACTGGTGGATATCCAGCTTGCATTAAAATCATGTTCATAAGAAGACGTGAAGTTCGTCCATTACCATCAGTAAATGGATGTATGTGCACTAGTTTGTAATGTGCCAAAGCTGCATATCTAACAGGATGTAACCTTAGGGTGGTTTCAGAATTAAGCCATCTTGAGAAATTTTCCATCAATGTTCCAATATGAGATGGACCAGGAGGAACATGACCACCAACAAATACCTATGAATATTAATTATTAAAAATAAATAAATTACTATTACTCATTATTGGTCTTTTATATTATGCACTTTAGATATAAAATGGGTACTTGTATTGTTATTGCTCTGCTATATAGCTGATATGCCATATTACACTATTCCAACAATTGTCGTGTTTTACTCATGATAGATGATCTATTTTATCTAATTTAATCAATTATCTATGTGAGGTATGTATATAGAAAGAAGAAAATAATCATAATAAAGTAATTAGTGACCCCAGGCTATTGTCGAAAAAGAAGAAAGTTTATTTGTGAGTAGAAAAAATAATGCTGGACGTATTCTGCTACAGCAATGGATTTTCAGTGGATTATGTTGGGAAACCAATCAGTGTTTTACATTTAATGTACCTAATCGACCACAGAAAACATTGTTACCTATAATACAAAAATATATAAAACCAGGCTCAATAATTATGTCAGATTGTTGGAAAGCTTACAATAATTTGCATCAAGCGGGATACAAACATAATACTATTAACCACACCTATAATTTTGTTGATCTGTACACAGGGCACACATCCAAAATATCGTGAGATTATGGGGTTTTGAAAATTGGGGAAATAAATAGAGTCGTGGAACTAATAGAAATTTTCTGGAATTGTATTTGGCAGAATTTATGTGGAGAACAAGTCTCGGGAAGCGTTTGAAGCTACCTTACAAGGTATTTCTAAGTTCTGGCCTTCTTTTTAATTTATAATTCTAATACATTTTAAAATTTGAATTTTATACATAAATAAATACAGTCAAGTTGCGATAACTCTAAGTTGAAGGGGGATAAAAATTCACTTTGGGATATATTTTATTTGAGATACCTAACTCTAATTTATCAAAATTAAATCAAAACTTCGAGTTATCTAATGAAATATAATTTTAAAAATTTATAATAAAAAATGTTATGATAAATATATGTACTTAAATGTTAACACAAAATCTTCTAATTTTCCTATGGCTTCGAATATAGTAGTATTCACGCCTTCGACAGATTCAACAAATTGTCTAACAGTTTGTAATGATGACATTGCTTGGTTTATATTTAAAAGTCTTTCAGGCTCATCAGGGAATCATTATTTGATATACATAATACACATTTTATACTCATGATTTCATTATCAGTAAAAATATATATCATAATAATACAAGTATATAATAGTCGACTGACTACATTATCAACAATTGTAATATACGATTGAAATGTAGTCGGTTGATCGATATTAAGTATATTTGCTATAATTTACCAATCATATCTACCATCATCATCGTCACTGTTATTATTATCAACATATATTACCATCTGCTCTTCATTAAAATAGAATTCAGCTTTTTTGAAACAATTAACAATTGTATTTGATTGTACATTACTATACATACTAATCAATATATATTTACTGTTATTGTGCATGTGCTAATAATCAGTTTCTATCTACTTGTATACTCTTTATTATACAGTAGATACAGATATAACAGATATAATAATAAACTTCGACTAAGCTATTTATCACAATTTTATATTTGAATTAACAAGACTTATAATACATTGAGTGTTATGAGAATTTTTAGAATAAGAAAAAAATTGAGTTGTCAAGTTTTCCGAGTTATAGTGACTTGACTGTAATATTAAATTTTGAAATATTATATATATCTATTGTATTGTTAATTTTATTTATTGCGGAGTTATAATAAACAAGAGTGGTAGGAAGATAAATTTTATAAGGTAAACCGGCGGAGCAATAACAATCAAGTATCATAAAATGTAATGCTTACTTGTGTTTGGCGAAAAACTCCACTTTCTAAAGGATCAACAAATCCCATTACTCGCTTATGGATTTCCAAAATATCATTAACAGATATACTACCAAGTCGGTTTATCAATGTTGCATTTATATATTTAAGCGCTGCTTCAAGACCTATAATTTCATTATGTTCAGCAATACTCCTCCCACCGATTGCCATTCTAGTTTCTAAAATAGATCTTGTTTCAGACAAAGACATTCTATTTCCTTCAATACCAACAGTATGATAAATATGCTAAAAAAATAAAGTAAGTATTAAATGTTGCACATATTTTTCTTACTAATATAATAATCAATAATTTCATTTTGTAGTCACCTGAAAATATGCTTCTTTTTTTGCTCTTCTTAGAGCCATATTGGAATCTGGCATTGAAGACATTTTATCTCTTTTTTCGTCAATGCGTTTGAGCTGTTGCCAATCCAGATCGTCAACAATTACTTGAGTTCTCTTACGATTTCCGAGTGCTTCTTTATGAGTCGGACTATATATTAATGCCTAAAGTAAACAGAGAAATTTATAAAATTATTTTAGTATCTATTAAATAGTATGTATTCTAACTAACAAACCTGAAAATACATCTGATCAGCCATTAATATGTCATCTTGTAGTGTTTCGATAAGTTCTCCATAGCCATTTAATAAGTCAGGATTCTTTGGAGCAAGAGCGATTCCGTGTTCTATGAGTTTCAAAGCTTTTTCTCCCTTGCCCATTGATTTCATCTCATTGGCAGCTATCAACGACATCAATGCTTCAACATTATCTTGATCAGCTATAATGTAAAAAAAAAATCAAAAGTAAGTTAGTAGGTACGTAACCTTATAAATTATAGTAGTGACACTATTCATTGTAATTATGATTGATTCAAGAAACTAATAAACTCACATATAACGTCCACTTCAGTCTCTCTGATGATTAGTTCGTGGGCATCTTGATCGGAGTCGTAGCGACCGTGATCATCAAAATCGACGATAGAAAACGGTCGGTGTAAGATCAGATGTTTGTGTTGTTGGTCGCTTCTACCGCCATTGTAGTTCCAGTACTTGTTGATGAACACGCTGGACAAAGCCCCGAACACAAATATAACGATCAGGGGATAGTATTGGCGTACCGCTCCGTTGGCCTGGAATAGCTTCAGGGCCAAACACTTCATGATTCGTTTTTTAATTTTTTTATCTTTAGAAAAATCGATCGCATTCACGGCGGCCCGGAATCGTACGCAGCTGACGTATTTCTCATGATTTCCGCGACACGTATCGTACACCCGGGAGTGGTGCTAACCATCTGGACAGTTTAATTCGCGAAAATCTGTTCGAAACGCTCGTGGGCATATTGTTCGTGATAATATGAAATGTTCGTCTGCTGAGATAACAACGGCATGAAATGGGTCTGATTAGACACGAGCGTTCCGCTGCAGCTAATTTCAGGCTCCGCACACGCATGAGCGCAACAATAACTACTATCAATATATCTTATCAACTATTAATATGAGTGATAAGCACTTGATCTAGGGATCTCTGATATTCCAATTTACATTGTATTTAAATGTTATATTATATTTATTAATTGTTATTTTAATTATTATCATTAAGACATTAATATGTATATAAGTCAACTGTCAATGGTTAATCTAGTCATACTAATACAAAAAAACTCACAGTCACAAATGTTTACAGAACACAATACAAAGTTATTTATATAATATTATATTTAACATTTATAACATTTATGTTAAACGTACAATTTTGAATTTACATTTAAATAAAATGTACACTTTCATTATGGGACTTTACATATTGTTTTAATACCGCGTTCACAGTAATTTAATGAGAAAAAAATTGAACCGTTACAAATAACCCGAGCACGTGAGATTAAATTGATAGAAGAAGATAAGAAGATATAAAAAAATATAATTTCAACGATATTTTACGGTGTCAGATGGCATAATAATGGGTATAATATGATAATGTATAGTGATTTTAATTTTACTTGCACTTTATTACCCGGACAATAATTGGAAATGTATCAATTTTTTTATTGCTTTCCTATTTACGTCTCTTACCAAATAAAATAATCTCAGATATAAGACGAATAAAAGAGCAATTACTAAGAGCTTTTACACCAGATTCATTGGCATCAGGTTGAATCGACAAACTTGACAGTAGTTCAAACCCCCCCCCCC